CGCAGGGGGTTCCAAGCCCGAGGCGAGGCGGGATAACGGGACCGGGAGGCCTCGAGCTGAGCTGGCCCGGGCAGGGTGCGGGGGAGTTGGAGGGGCGAGGCCGGCGGGTAACGGGCTCCGAGGGACGAGCCAACCGAGCCTGGGTGCGGGGGGTCATCGGGGTGCACGGCTGCCTCCTGGGGATCGGGGGATCGGGGGATCGGGGCTTTGGGGCTGGGCGCGGGGTTGGGCGCAGGGGTCCCGCCTTCTGCGGGTGAGGCTGCTCTGGGACAGCCCGGGTTCTGGGTGTGGCGAAGGGCGGCGGTCTGGGGAGGCGGCCCGGCACCTGCGAGAGCGCGAGGGGTGGGGACTGTGGTCTCAGAGTTAATCATGAGGTTTCAGAGATGTTCTGTTCAGCTGCCTTCTACGGGGGACTTTCTGATGTGCCTTGTCCCCGAATCCCCCACCTCTAGACAGACGAGCTCCACCCCCATCCCGGAGATTCCCCCGATCTCTGACCCTCTAGTGGGGGATTTGGAACCGTATACAGCGAGGGCCTCGGTGTCCACGCGCGTCTGTCTGTGGCGTGTGTGCACCCGCGTGTCTGGAAGGGGCTGCTGTGCCCCAGGAAGGGAGTGTGTGCGCCCTGTGTGTCTAAGTTGGTGCTGACTCCATCAGAACTTCTGGCCCCTCCTCCTCTCTCCCTGATTGCATCATTAGTGCTAATTGAGGGGCTTTCACACGCCAGTGCATTAGCTGTTTGGAGTGAGCTCCCCCCTCCTGCGAGATAAGCCGCTGCCCCCTCCCCCTCGCAGCTCTCCACTTCCCCAGGGCCCTGAAACTGTCCACCGAGGTCCTCTCACCTCCTCGGGCTCCCTCCAGCTTGCCTCTGGACAGGAAAATCTCTCTCTTCCGGCAGTGTCATGGATAGGCGGAGGACTCCGGGGTGGGGGTAAAGCTTAGGGGTGGGGGAGGAATCTAGAACCATCTTTCAGAGGAGCTTTCTAGGGAGAGGAGGTTTTCCCCTTAAGAGGTCTCACATTCCTCTTGCAAGTAGGGAGGGAGGGTCTCTGCGATTAAGAAAGGGAATAGAAATTTCTGACTGGTTCTTTTGAGCGTGGAAAGGGAGAGGGGCAAATTTCTTATGCCTAGCCTGTGATTCTATTGAGGTAGGCCTTCTGGCTTCGACTTTGTGGTCCCCCAAGACTCAGAAAGTGGGGGCCAAGCTGACTTAATCGTCATGGGAAAGGCAGGTTGAAGGAAGCCATGATTCCCCCTGAGAGATTTGGGTCTGATGGAGTCCGGTCTATCGGTCTGTTCCTGTTTAAGCTGCTCCGCCCAGCTCTGGCCCATAGCAGCCGGGAGTGTGTGTGTGTGTGTGGGGGGGGGGCTCTGAGCAGATGCCCTCCCCAGCCCTCACACCAGATGTCTTTGGTCTAATTAACTGTGCTGAGAAAACCAACCTGGGTTTGTAAACAGAGCTACTGGCTAAAGTCAACACGGAACGGTAGCAAACAGTAAACAGTCCCCTTACACTCAGCCTCAATCGCGACCAGCGGCCCCCCAGGGAAGACTGGGAGCCCGGTGGATCAGAATTCCCCTATCTGCCTGGGTGACCCCAACTGACATTCCCTTACCAGCCCCACAGTGTCTCCTCAAGAAGTGTGAGGACCAGCTACCATCCCAAGATAGGTCTGTCTGCCTTCCAGCAATTTCACAACCTGGCTACCTAGCCAAACATGGCCATCTTTGAGAAAGTCGTGGTGGTGGTGGTGGTGGTGGTGGTGGTGGTGGTGGTGGTGGTGGTGTGTGATATTCCTTGCAAAACTTTCTTTGGATCCTCTGCATGTTCATGTCTTGGAGAAGCCTGGACGGGGAAGGGATTGGCATTGTGAGTGTAGGGCTCAGAGTTAGTGAATATAACGTGAACATTGTTAACTTCATTACACATCATGTAGGTATTATAATAACATGTTCCAAAATTAGATAATTATTCCTGTGATATCTCTGCCAAGCTTTGGTGTTTCTGTTATGGTTTGAAAGTTCAGTGCACAACAAGGACCAGAGAAATAGGCACAAATGTACATATGGTGCACACCCAGAAGCCACGAAAACAGGAGCCTCGCATACCGAAACAAAGACCCTTCAACTGTGTGGCCTTACATTTATGGCTTCCCTCAGCCCTCACTGGGACACACGGACACACACGATCACAGACGGAAATAGGATTTGGGCTCCTAAAAGAAAGAGATCGAACCTTTGGAACTGACAGTTCTTAACCAAATTTTGATTGTTTGCTTTTGAGAGAGAGAGAGAGAGAGAGAGAGAGAGAGGAGAGAGAGAGAGAGAGAGAGAGAGAGAGTATGCGCCACCCAGGGAGAGGAGTTATTTCAAAGAACTGGAAAGCAGGAACACTATGGGAAGCCCCTGTTCCCTCATCTGTGTTTGCCCAGCCATGCAAAGAAAGGCCAGTCAGGGCCCACACCACAGCCTGGGCCTCACAGGCCAGTGTCCAGCTCGGAGCCGATAATGTTTCTCAACACAGCTTCAGACCGCAGCCTCTACTTATTCCTACTCTTTTCCCCCACCAGGAGCTTTTGGACCAGCAAATAGCTTAACAAGGCTCCGTGCTTTAGACTCACTATGTTTTTTTTCCCCTCTTCCCTTCTTCCCATTCCAATTTAATGGACTAACCAGGATACCAGTGCTTGGGAAGGAGGCAGCTGGTCTAGACTCTACAAGGCTCTTTTCCGGGAAGTGTCTCCCAGCTCCTTCCTTTCTTCCTACCATCAGACCCTCGTGGGGTGCCTGTATGGTACCACCCTTTTCCTTCCAGCCCAGGTCCCCGACCCCTCTGATGGAGTGTTGCTGTTCCTGCGGCTGAAACAAGGATGAACTGAACTGGTAATTCAGGCTTCCGTGAGCTTCTACTAGCTCTCCATACAGCCCGGCTCCCTACCTTTCCATCCCCTCGGAGAAAGCCACGTCCCCCAGCCTGAAGCGGGTGCTGCCTCTTGGCCACCCTCTGCCTCTACCCATGAGCCCCTTCTCTTCCTCAGCTGCTTCTTCATGCTTTTCCAGAAAGTAGTGAGCTGGAGACACTTCTGTCACCAGGATGCATGGGTGTATTCTTGGACTCCCGTGGCTTTATTTCCTTTAAGAAAATGTCCAGAGTCCTTTGCCCAGGTCTAGGAAAAGTTGTGTAAATAACTCTAGATTTGATGTCAGAGATCCAGTCATGGTTGAGATTCCCCAGTGTGTGCAATCTAGTATTAATGATAGCAAATGAACATATTTTGAGGTGTTAGACAACGTGATTGGCTGTGATTCTTCAAGGCAGAGCTGATTTTGACGCCTTTGCCCTCTAGTTTCCACCAGAGAAATTGCTTAGCCGCCCAGGCTCCCTTGGACTTTGGAGCATTCACTTTTCCCAGAACCAGCAGACTGGCAAGCCGCTCATCAGAAAGGCCCTTCTCCACATACGACGAGTTCACAGGAGGCCTGGATTCAGCCTTCTGATGCCACAGTGACCAAGAGCAGGCTTCAGCCTCAGCTCTGTCCTCCTTGGAGCCAGGCACTCAGGAGGGGGGGGGGCTGCTTTCAAAAGGATGGGGGGTGTGCGTGAGTGGGGGTGGGCACAGCTAGCCAGCCCATTCCTCCACCTCCCTCAGGTAGGAAGTGAAGCTGACCTTTCAAAAAAAAACAAAACAAAACAAAAACAAAAACAGATGATGGAGGTCGGGTTTCTGACATACAGGACCTAAGGGAAGGCCAAGTCAGAATCCCCAAGAAATTATGGGAGCTAGGGGTGGGAGAAATGAGAAAGACTGACCGGAGATAGGGAAAGATGTGGAAACACAGGCCGATAAGAGCCCGGAAGGAATCTCGAGAAGGGTAGTCAAGACAAAGATGGAGAGAGCTGTGCTCGGGAGAGACAGAAGCTTTCTGGAGAAAAGCTTAGCTCCCTTGGCTGGGGCTCTGCCTGGAAACTTGAGCCCCTTCAGCCTTATAGCTGTGCCAGGGGGCAAGGCCCTCTCTCCACCCAGGAACCGAGAATGTGCCCAGGGCTCCTGGTGCTCCCACAGCTTGGCCGGCTTAACATCTGTCTCCTCAGCACCAGGGCCCGTGCCGGTGGCTTCCCCTCCAGCTCTTGACTAGGCCTGTTCTTGGTAGCTGCCCGCTTCCTACTCGGCTGCACCCACTGCTCAGGATGCCTTTGTGGTGATCTCTCCTTCCCTCCACCTTCTGGCTTTCCAAGACTGTGCCCGCTGTGACCGGGACTCTCTCAGGTACACGTTACCTGAGAGAAATTATGAGGGGTTGACGTTGGGCCTGGGACCTTGAACCTGAATGGCGTAGCGGGGGGTGGGGGGTGGGGGTGGGGGTGACTTGGGGGGGTGGGGGGTGGCGGGGGTGGGAAAGGAGAAGAACAAGAGCCAAGCCGCAGGGCTTCTGTCTATCCTGGGCAGATGGAGTGGCGAGCAGAGAGCCAGGGAGTTGGCCATCCATAAGTGGTGATGAACAGACTGTGGCAGGAGCTGGTGAAACAGAGGCTTCCTTGTGGCTTACAACAGCCAGGTATGGAGGCATGTGTGCAGGTGGTGGCTAAAGATAGCACATCACATCGTCTCTGACCAACCAATGCTCCTTGAGTAGATAGAAAAATGTTTCTTCTAGACCATGATCAAGGAGAAGGAATCCTCTCTCTCTCTCTCTCTCTCTGTTTTTCAAGATAGGGTTTCTCTGTGTAGTCCCCGGCTGTCCTACAACTAGCTCTGTAGACCAGACTAGCCTCGAACTCACAGAGATCTGCTTGCTCCTCTCTCTCAAATGCTAGGATTAAAGGCATCTGCTACCCCCAGGCCCCCAGCTCTATGAATCCATTCTCTTTGCTGCAGCTTGGGGAGTGTAGGGGGGAAGTGGGGGTGGGCACTGAGTATGTATCTGGCTCTAAACTTACAGAGGATGAACAGTTCTCTCTCATCTGATCCCTTCTTTGTCCTGGGGCACACAGGAGGAAGGCACTACTCCTAGTCAAGAGAGTCTTGGCTCTGTGGCCCCTCTCAGGAGTTTACAGTGTACTTGGGAAGATCCATCCCAAACCATTAGGGCCTGAATAAGGAAGAATGTGGGAAGTCGAGGGCAAAGGACAGAAAGATGGGCAAGAGCTATACTATCCTGATGGAGAGCTGGCATGTCGGGAGGGCCTGCTCTGAACCAGGAAAGGCCCCGTCTCCCTGACACATACCATGAGGTCAGAATGGGTGTTCATTTTGTAGATGACGAGGCTTGAGGGTTTTGGGGATCTGTCAAACTATCCAGCCTTTGTAAGCAGCAGTGGACCCTGACCCAGATTCTGAGACTTGCCTCAACTTTTCATTTGTTTTTAGGGGAAAAAAAAATCTAGTCAAAGGGAGAGGCAGAGAGGAAGGCATCCATGGATGCCTAGGCAGAAGTTCATTAAAGTCACTTTTGCCTCCAGGTAACAAGGTTTGGCCATAAAGATTTATTATTTTATTGTTCTTATTAATACTAATGATAGAGCACACTTATTAAATGCGTTCCATTATCATATAATCTACTTAACAACTGTAGGAGATAAACGCTATCATTATCTCCAATTTTCCTGATGAGAGAATTGAGGTGAGAAGGCGAGGTGAGATGCCTGAGACAGCAGTCAGAGCCCGAGCTTGGGTGGGGAGCCCGAGCTTGGGTGGGGAGGCCTGTCACTATGGAGGGTCTGCTGCGGATTCCCTCTTTGGGCCTGTGTTGTAGCTCACCGCCTGCCTGGGCTGAGCTGATTTCCGCAACAAAGATCCCAGGGACAGCCTGTCCAAGCCTGGAGCTGCCATCTTGGCCAGAAGGTAAGTGTGTGGTGCTCTGTGATGCTCTGGGAGCATTTAGAGGAGAGAGGTGAGTCGAGTCCTTCTGGAGTGAGTAGCTATGGGGACAAATGAAGGGGACGGGGGCGCCTTGAGGAGGTTCTGCGTCGAGAACCAGGCTGACTGAACTTGTATGCTGAGTCCCTCAGAAACCCCAGAGGGTTTTGTAGTCTTTCCTCCCTCCCCTTTTCTGAGGATGAGGGGGAACGAACTGATCAGAAAGGATAGTTGACAAAGGGTTAACTTGGCTCTGGGAGTCTGTGTGGAATTAAAATAATTATTTGAAAAATTCAGAAAAAGCGCACACACACACACACACACACACACACACACACACACAAAAGGAAGTAAAAATTACACAAAATCCCTCCATTAAAGGAGATTACCTATAGGAAGATGTGAGAGACGTCCTGCCTGCTCCTCCAGCCCCATCTGCAGAGGTGACCACTGTGACCCCACCCCCACCCCCCACCCTGGGATGGTAAAGGCTCCTGCAGATGCCCTGTGTACCCATCAGCCCCTCCCCCACCAGCTTTCTTTGAGTTTTGCAGTCAGGCTTGAGGTTAGATACCTCAGGACTCTTGATGTTTCCAAGCTCAAATCCCAGTCCTGGGCTGTTACAGCAGCAGCAGCAGCAGCAGCAGCAGCAGCAGCAGCAGCAGCAGCAGCAGCAGCAGCAGCAGCAGCAGCAACAGCAACAATAACACCCAGAAAAACTCAAAACAAAAACCTGTCATTGGATTTGTGCCCCCCCCCCTCTTTTTTTTCTTTATCGCTATTCTCCAGAGCTGGGCCCTTCCTTCTCTCACATAATGCTCCCAGGATTGGGGCTCTCCCCACCTCAAAGCATGCATGGGCACCAGATTCATCTGCCAGGAACACTGCTTCGAACACGTCATTTTCCTGCTGGAAAACATCTTTGATGATTCCCCATCATTTGGAGAGTAATTTAGCTGGCACTTACAGTCAGGCGCAACCTACCTCTTGGATTCTAGTACGCACAAGTACTTCCTGACTCCGAGTGGCAGCCCAGCTGGTGGCTTCCCCAATCTCAGGAGTTCTTCTTCGGCTCTCTGATAGCTTATTCTTCCCCATACGCTGCCACAAATGACCCAGGGCTGGAACTAAACTTTGTTTTCTCTTTCGGCTTTGACTCCCTGTGGAAGTTAAGAACAAGTTAAGGACTTGACGTTCCGCCTGTGTTCATCTGCCCCTGCTCAGCCCTGCATCTTGATCATCTGCTTTGAATAATGGAGTCTCTGTCCTGTGGCATTTCTTACCATAGTCTCTCTCTCTCTCCTCTTTTGGTTTTTTGAGACAGGTTTTCTCTGTGTAGCCTTGGCTGTCCTGGAACTCACTCTATAGACCAGGCTAGCCTTGAACTCACAGAGATCTAGCTGCCTCTGCCTCCTGAGTGCTGGGACTAAAGGCATACACCACCACCGCCTAGCTGACATATTCTCTTTTTGTTTTGTTTTCTTCTGATTAGGTATTGCTTGGTAGCCCAGACTCGCCTGGAACTTGCTGTATAGCCAAAAATTAGCCATCCGCTTTACTCTGCCTCCCAGTGATGGGAGCACAAGTGTGTACTGCCACACTCAGCCAGTCTTGACATTTAAAAAAAAAATCTTTTCATGTGTAGTGGTGGTGGTGGTGTGTGTGTTTGTATAGGTGAATGTGGAGGTGTATGTACCACGGTGCACGTGTAAAGGTCAGAGGACAACGTTGGGTGTCAGTCCCTGTCCATCTTGTTTGAGACAGGGTCTGTGGGTACTTCAAGCTATCTGGCCAGTGAATGAGTTTCCAGGGATTCTCCTGGCCCAGCCTTCCATCTCCCGTTAGGACCTCTGGCAGTACAGAAGTGCTACTTGGTAAAACGATGTGGGTCCTGGGGATTCAAACGTAGCCTCTCATGAAGATTTTCTCTGAGAGTCATCTCTCCAGCCCCAAAGATTCTTGATGGAAAGAAGACCATGGGACCTCCCCTTCCATTGCAACCTTCTTACTTCTTAGCAGTTGGAAACAGTCATCTTGGAAACAGGGCCTCTGGATGCTTGGCTCTCCTTCCCTTTGCCTACAGAGCCCTGCTGAGGCCCCAGCCCTTCCCAGGGTAGCAGGGTGGGCTCCTTTCCTGTATCCAGCTTCCAATGTCATTTCATCAGACAGGTCTCCTCTGGCCACTGTCTATCATGTCGCGTTGCTTTTATGTCCTCAAGACACTGTTTTCTGAAATGGCCACCTCCGCCAGTTTTCCTTGTCTGCCTCTAGCCTCCCCTCACAGGAATGCAAGCACCATGAGGTTTGGGGTCTGTATCTTGTTCTCTGGTGTCTGTTTCAAGCTCCAAGCAGTGATGGTGGAGATCCTTTGCTAGTAAATCTGAACGCTTCTCCTCCCATGGTTTGGGCAGCCTACCTCTAGTAACGGCGCTTGTCTTCTGAAAGCGACGTCAGTCATACATTACAGGCTAAACAACAAATATATCCTTACCAATGGGAAAGCAACCACAAAAACTTTTGTCTTAGCCCAAACCGGCCTCCTTACTGACTGAGCCTTGCTCCCTGAAACTGTGACTTGGGGTTGTTCTGACGTCAACTGAGCGGTGTCCCGTTCCCTCAATGCTCCACTCTGTGACTTTAAGGTGACAATCAGTTAATCCAATAACAGAATCCTGCTAACGTGCTAATGGGAAAGGGTGGGGAAAAAAGGCTCCTAGCTTCCTCCCTTCTGACTCAGGTAACATCTGTGCATTTAACAAGGCCCTTCTGGAGACAATTAAATAAATGCTTTATTGAAACAATAAAATTAATAGGGGCCTCATGGAACTCAATGAAAGGTTTTTAAAAATTAACTTCATTGTACTTTTAAGCTCTAAAACAAGCTTGGGGGGGCGGGGCTTGGGGTGAGTGAGTGGGTTAAGGGCCAAATTTTCGTGAAACAGATCCCTGACCAAACGTTGAATGCTTGGAGGCTTGGAGACACAATTACTCACTTTCCCTGTGGAAGGGGTACTTTGTTCCGGGGGCCTGTCTCTTATAGGATCTTTAAGCAACAGATCTGGTTTTATCTTTGGGACCATGTCACTTTATACATTGATTAATTTAGGCCTTCATGGTTTTTTTTTTTTTTTTTTTTTTTTTTTTTTTTTTTTTTTGTAGCCTAGGTTATGTGTCTCATGTTGTCACATTGAAGGGGTAAAATTGTGAACACTGTGACAAGCTGGGTGTGGTGGCTTATGGTGTCTGCATTTTTACTACCCTAGAGGCTGAAGTGGGAGGATTTTGGTGAGCTGTTTTAGGCCAGCCTGGGCTACTGTGTGAGACTGTCTCAAAACCAAAACCCAAACCAAACAGCAAAAATAACCAAACCCCACAAGGCACCCACCCATTCTGCCAGGAAATAGGTGAGACATTCCCTTTCCTGGTCTTCATTTGTTTGTATTTAGGTCCATCTGCCTCACTTGGCTGTCTGTCCACAGATCTCATCCTAGCTCATCACCCATGGTTATCCCATTTCTCTAGGAACTGTGTTTGACCTCAGTAAAGGTCATGGTCAGAGTTCGTCAAACCAGAACCTGAGACCAGAGGTTTCTGGCAACCTGTGGGTAGTTCTTCTGGTGGGGGAAGGAACAGGGGTTCTCTGGGACAGGATTTCCTTATGGGTCTGCTGGGCTTGGGGGGAGGGGAAGGAGGGGTGTGAGACCCCAGACCCGGAAGTTCTCTTGGAAGATGCAGCTCCCTGCCTGGATGGATGGATGGAGCTGGCGTGGGACTGTCTTCAGGATCCCCCATTATCCCCATCAAGGTAGCACACCGGTGCAAAACATCTGTGATGTCTGTGTAGACTTAGATTCCAACCCTGAGCTCCTGCCGTAGACGCCCTGTGTGAATGTGAGGGGAAGGCTGAGAGTATGGTTCAAACCCCAGTGGGTCTTTCCCCTGAGCCCTGGACTTCTTGGACACCCCCGC